CAGGGTTAAACCTGGGGGCAGCTTTTCCTTTGGGAAATTGGGAAAATCCCGAATTCCAGGGGTTTTCCTGCTCCTTTCCCACCTCAGGGTTAAACCTGGGGGCAGCTTTTCCTTTGGGAAATTGGGAAAATCCCGAATTCCAGGGGTTTTCCTGCTCCTTTCCCACCTCAGGGTTAAACCAGGAAGTTTTTCCATCCTCGACTCTTCCCGGTTTTCCCTGTTTTCCCAGATGCCGGGAGGTTCCGGCCAGACCATCCGGAAAGGCCACAGAGGGGTGGATTCCACGGGGGAAACCACCTACAAAAAGGTACATTTTGGGCATTTTTCCCCCCTTTTCCAGCTCCTTTATTCCCACTTTTTCCCGGGGAATCGTGTCCCGGAAGGTTGGGAATGATGGGAAATCCCGAGGGAAAAAAAGGACCTTTTGGGCTCTGGAGGGAGGGGGGGGTTTAAACCTCATTCCCAGGTCTGCTCTGGGAATATTCCCAGGGATTTTGGGATGTTCAGTAGGAAAAGGGATGAGGGGTTCAGGGATATTCCCAGGGATTTTGGGACGAGGGGTTTGGGGATATTCCCAGGGGTTTTGGGATGTTCAGCAGGAAGGGACGAGGGATTTGGGGATATTCCCAGGGATTTCAGGACCAGGGGTTTGGGGATATTCCCAGGGATTTTAGGGACATTCAGCAGGAAGGGATGAGGGGTTTGGGGATATTCCCAGGGATTTCAGGGATGTTCAGTAGGAAAAGGGACGAGGGGTTTGGGGATGTTCCCAGGGATTTTGGGATGAGGGATTTTGGGATATTCCCAGGGATTTTGTGACATTCAGCAGGAAGGGACGAGGGGTTTGGGGATATTCCCAGGGATTTTGGGATGTTCAGTAGGAAAAGGGACAAGGGGTTGGGGGATATTTCCAGGGATTTTAGGGATGTTCAGTAGGAAGGGATGAGGAGTTTGGGAATATTCCCAGGGATTTCAGGACGAGGGGTTTGGGGATATTCCCGGGGATTTCAGGATGGTCAATAGGAAAAGGGATGAGGGGTTTGGGGATATTCCTGGGGCCGAGGGGTTTGGGGATATTCCCGGGGCCGAGGGGTTTGGGGATATTCCCAGGGATTTCGGGATGAGGGGTTTGGGGATATTCCTGGGGCCGAGGGTTTTGGGGATATTCCCGGGGATGAGGGGTTTGGGGGTATTCCCAGGGATTTCAGGATGGTCAATAGGAAAAGGGATGAGGGGTTTGGGGATATTCCCGGGGCCGAGGGGTTTGGGGATATTCCCGGGGATTTGGGGCCGAGGGGTTTGGGGATATTCCCGGGGCCGAGGGGTTTGGGGATATTCCCGGGGATTTGGGGCCGAGGGGTTTGGGGACATTCCCGGGG